AAAGAGTGTCCTTGAAGACAAACATGTCATGCTTTCAGCAAAGTGTCGGGTATGATCTTATTTTTAAAAGTGATCTAGTAAATGAGCCTGGATAACAACTTGGAAGAAATAATGTTACCATATGCTACAATATGTTTAAATTTGAGATTAAACTGCTCTGATAGGCACTGGCTGAACTTCTCCCTTCACTTAAACAAGCTGGGCATCGGGTCCTTATTTTTAGCCAGTGGACATCGATGCTTGACATATTGGAGTGGGCTTTGGATGTCATTGGGATTACGTATAGACGTCTTGATGGAAGGTATATTTCAAGTTGTTAGTTTTAAAGATTTCTTCTCTTGTCCTAGCAGATGTGCTTTAGCATATTGCACATCTGTCTACAATTGTTTATACCTAATAGATGGGCTGAGGTAATTACCACAATGATTTTTTTTTCTTTTTCTTTTTCTGAAATCTTACTGAAAAGCTGAAGATAGTTGTAGATACTGTAGTATTTAACTTAGAGTTTTGGTGACGTAGAAATTGTCCAAGAGAATGTTTGAGCCAACTATGACTTGCAAGTAGCTTTTTATATTGAGCATGTATATGGTTGCATAATTAGTAAACGTGGAACTTGGTTCTGTTAGAATGCATCGGATCATTTGTGCCTACCCGTAAAGTGCCCTTTGGTTATGTACTTGTTTATCTCTATTATATGTCTGCGTTTTATCTTCTCAGTACACATCAGCTCATTTATATATCACATAATGCACTTTGCTTGAGATTCTGTTGTATTCTCATTAGTTTATCTTGGCGTTGAATTTTCCCATTCTAGGATATTCCAGGTATATTTCCCTCTTCTACTCTGTTCATATATATATACACATACCTACATAAATATATATATATATATATATATATATTAATCCATAAGACCCCTGAATTAGCCTAGAAGGCTGGAAGTTTGGAACACCAATGAATTCTACTATTTTTGGGAAGCAGAAAACTCGTGATTGTTTACCGGGTAGGTCGGCTAAATTTCAGACTCTATGACGGGAAACTACACATACGACTGCCCAACAAACCTTTCACGGTTCTCCCCACCTCTCTCTCTCTCTCTCTCTCCTAACTTCTTTCATCTTTGGTACATTGGACGGATGTAACCTCTTTTTTTTTTATTATCTATTTATCTTGAACTTAATCCTTCAGCGGTTGATGCAGAACCAAAAGAGGAAAAGAGGGAAGAAAACTCTGATCTATGAAACTAAAGTCTTCCTCAATAATGCAGTATAAGATATAAAGCAATTGTTTTTTGTTTTTTTTGTTTTTTTGTTTTTAAATAAGAACGAAGAACTTCATTATTAGTAATAAAAAGATTACAAACGAAATTCCAAGGTGGATGAGGAATCCACCTGAACCGAAAATAGGAAAAAAAAATAAAAATAAAAACAAGCCAAAAGGCTAAAAGCAAAAAACACTAACAAAATCCTATCTCAGAATATCTTCCCAACTCAATAAAATCAAGGATAATGGAAAATGCTTAAAGGATGGAATTAGTTGAAGCCCAAATGGAGCGGGGAATTTTGTCTTCATTAATAAATCCTAAAACCCATTACCTTTTCCTTTTCGAATAAAGCAATCATTATAACTAGGGATTTAAAATTATCCTATCAATTTGGGTGATTTTTCGATGTTGTTTGATAGTCTTTTATACAGTTTGTTAATTGGGGTGATTTACTTATTGTTATTTGATAGTCTTGTTCTAGTTTAGCATCTTAAGTTTCTAGTTGAATCAGAATTTCCCATCTATAAGCAGGCTTGCTAATTATGTAAGCATTATTAGATGATTGAATTATTAGGTGTGACTAATTGGTGTATCAATTGGTTTCTCTCTTGAAGGTATGACTAATCATTAGGTCTTGTCTCAAATATCCACAATTCATCTACCGTCATTTATTATTATTTTTTTCATTTTTTTTTTTAAATTTTGTTCGTTAATGCCTCCTTGACTGCAATCACCTGTTATTGCATCTTTCTCTTACAATTCCAATAGCAGTTTCTCCTCTGTGCCCATGTTTCACTTGCTCTGTAGAGTCTTTCTATTTGTCACGTTTTTGTTTGAAAATATGAACTGGCTCACACCCGTCTGGAAATACTTGTTAAGTGGGATGACAATAAAATGGTGACCCTATGCGAATAGAAATCACGTTGAATTGAGATCTAGGTTCGTGGGAGGAAGCTGGGTGCTAATTCTTTTTTTACTTTGTAGCTTTGATGGAGGTTCCAATGTTTCAGAATACACTTTTTGCTTCCTTACTGGAATAGTTTTAATCTGTGTAGTTTTGATTGGGATGATTTATGTGGTTATTTCATGGCTAAGAAACCCATGCAGGTGGGGTGTATTGAGTTGAAGGGACCAGTTGCTCCTCTTTTTGAGTTGACAAGAGGTGTTAGCCATGTTTACTTTAGGTCTGTGGTTACAGCTTACAGGTTACATGAAATACTTGGCAGCCAGATTTTTAGACTCTGTCCGAGTATAAAATGGGTGAATTAAGTAAATGGGATAGTCAGCTTTGGCGCTTTTACTGGTGATTCTGGCTAGGAAAAAAAAAATAGAATTATTTTTTAAGGTCTTGAAGAGAGTTTTGATAATGTTGGGAATATAGCCAAGTTTTGGGTAGCTTCGCGGTTACACTCTGATAAGATTTCAGGGATGTTACAGATTTTTCAGATTTATTGAGGGATTTGACCTCTTTGATGTAGTTTTACTTTATTTTCTTGTTGCTGTTGGACTTCCTACCCTCCTTTATGTTTAATTCTTTTCTTACTTATTATAGTTATTTTTTATCTCAAAAAGAAAGAAACGCTTGCAGAATGCCTCCATGACATCATAAATGAGTAACAAGGCCAAAACAAGTATGAAATTTATGTACTAAATTAAATTTATGGTGTAATAGGGGTTGCCATGAGTTATTTTGATTAATCAACTCCTATCTTTCACGTTTCTTACTAATAACGAACTGTAGGTAGAGGTCTATTATATGCTAATACGATATTTTAGGTTGTACTATGGCCTACGATTCTTGAATTTTGGGTTTTGTTTATTTTGACATTACTTCTTTATCTCTGATTTTGTTTTTGTTGGATCTAGATGAGAACTTGAGTTCTACTATGAGTAGTAATATAGCCCATATGTTTCGTGGTCTCCAAATTCTGTCCTTTTCCTTTCATTCCTTTTTGGGCTAAAGAACTTGGGTTAGGTAGTTTCATTTCCAGTGAGTATTCAATAAATATGGGAATATTTCGAGAACTCTGCTATTGAATTGTTTTATTGCATTGTTGTAAGGCGGGGTGGGTTAAGTGGAAGAATGTCACGAAAGTTTTATGTGATGATAAGATGCTTATTAAGTTGAAAGGAAAATTCTATAGGGCAACAATTCGCCCAATTATGTTATATGGTAGTGAATGTTGGGCCATCAAGAGGCAACAAATATACAATATGAGTGTGGCGGAGATGCGTATGGTAAGATGGATGAGTAGCCATACGAGGATGGATCACATACGGAATGAAGTTATTCGTAGTAAAGTAGGTGTAGTACCAATAGAAGATAAGGTGTGGGAAAACCATCTGAGGTGGTACGGGCATGTACAACGTAGATCGTTAGATGCACATGTTTGTGTTTAGGAGAAACATCCAAATACCTAGTACTAGGAGAGCGAGGGGTAGACCAAGAATTACTTAGGCTGACGTAGTTAGACATGACTTTCAAGATCTAGGGTTTCAGGAGGGTCTCGTGTTTAATAGAGCAGACTGGAAACGAGAAATCCATATAGCCGACCCCAATTAATTTGGGATTAAGGCTTGTATTTGTTGTTGTTGTTGTTGTAATCATATGATTTATCATTTAATGCAAGCTACATTCAAGCCACAATCGAGTTTCATAAATAATTATACACATGAAATATCGATTCTTCCTACGGAAAAGAAAATAACCTATAATTTCCATCATCAGGTGACCTCAAAATTTTAATAAACGTTTCTGGTTTTGTTCACATTCCATGTATGAACCCCATATCATACAAGCCCATTGTCCATTATTAACCTGTCTTCATTAAAACCCTCAGCAGAGTTCCTTTTGTCCCACATTAATAGCTTCCTTTTTAGGTGTTTATGTTGTTCATTGAAGTGAATCATCTCTGCTTATTGTATTTTTTTTTTTTTTTTTGGTCATCGAATGCCAGTACTCAGGTAACAGATAGACAGACTATTGTTGACACATTCAATAACGACACTTCGATATTTGCATGCTTGCTCTCCACCAGAGCTGGAGGGCAGGGTTTGAACTTGACTGGTGCTGATACTGTTGTCATTCACGACTTGGATTTCAACCCTCAAATTGATCGACAGGCAGAAGATCGATGCCATCGTATTGGTCAAACGAAGCCTGTTACAATATACAGGTATTGTCCCTCATCAACCCATGAGGAGCGAAGAGAGACGGTCTTATTTTTTGTTCTGTTTCTCTTATTTTTCTTATGTTCTTTTTCAATTCTTCTGGTGCATTACCAATGGTTGAAAAAATTTCCAGGTTGGTCACCAAGGGTACAGTTGATGAAAATGTTTACGAGACTGCGAAGAGGAAGTTAGTTCTAGATGCTGCTGTGCTTGAGAATGGCATGGAGACGAATAATGAAGGTGATGCACCTGAGAAAACCATGGGAGAGATATTATCAGCACTTTTACTTGGTTAGGCTGCGAGATTGCCACCAAGTTTTTATTTTGTAACTCTACTTTTTTTTTTTGGTTTCAGATTCTTCACTTGTAAGTCAATTATTGTTTTAGATTAGTTGTAGCGAAAAGATAGTACTCTGTGGATAGCTCTAAATGCCATACGGGTCTAAATTAGCCTAAAATACCAGTAGTAGTAAAGTGTTATATCAATGAAAAAGTTCTGATAATTTATGTGGGTTTTTTTTTTTTTTTTTTTTTTTTTTTTTGGTGTCTTGGTGACAGTGAAGTATTAAATTTATTTGATAGCAATGGTTATGTTATCTGTTTGATTTACGGTGACATGACAATACAATTTGGGAACATAGGTCAATTAAGAGCTCGTTTGGTTGGAGGATTCGTTCTCTGATTCGAATCATAGTTCATAGTTCGTTACAGTATTTTCTCTTATAAAAAATACACGTAAATCGAAAATAATTTTAATCTTATGGTTCTAATCCATGAATCAAACGGTCTTTAAATTTCAACAGATTGATATTTGTTTTTCCAGGTTACTTGGAACCTCATTATTTGACACGCATGTACTGTTTTTCCCCTCTCGGCATTTCCCATGTGCTTTTGGTTAATGTTAAATCCTTGTTTCTTTAATGAGGTTAGATATTTTGATTTGTCCTAGAAAACATTTTCAAGGACGATGAAGCCGAATGAGATTTGCTTAACTTATTCCACTGAAGTTCTCAACTTCATACATAACAAATTAGATTTATCCGCCTTCTCATCTAACAGATCAAATGGACAGAGTTGTGAGTGGTGTCAGATCAAGCATATTTTGTCGCGTATGTTTTTATTGAAATGTTTTTTCACTTTTATTAGGTGTAAGCTTCAAGACAAACGGACAATATACCTAGAAACGCAGAGCAAAAGTTTGACATATTCCATTGGAACAAACTTCCAATTTTAAGGCAGAAAATGTATTAGTAAAATCTATTGGAGTTGCACCGATCGAATATTTGCTTGGTTTGTATCAGTAGTAACATTTTATTTTTATGTTTTGAAACAATCTTCTGTAACAGGGTGAGTTCGTAAATTACAAGGTAACAAAAGAAAGTGAGGGATGCCTTCGGGAACGCAAACACAAGTGGTGCATGGCTATTGTTAGCTCGTGAGTGTTGGGTTAGGTCCCACAACGAGCGTAAAGAGGAGTGTTTTTATGCATAACTTTGTGGAGAATGAATGAAAAAAAAAAAAACATTATATCAGCATAATTGTTCAATTCCGATAACGCTTTTCGATTCGGTATATACGGCTCCGATTTTATTTTTATGTTTTGAAGCAATCTTCTATAGCAGGATGAGTTCGTAAATTACATGCACCTTCCTAATATTCTTGCATAAGAAGGAAATGAAATATTTAACTCAACAATGTGAGGATATTTTATACATGGGATAAAATCATTTTGGACCGTATATTATAGTGAAACGTGCTTTTAGTACTCTATGTTTTTGATAATATTAAAATGATGCCTTGATATTTTTTAAAATATCTTCTTGGTATCCTAAAATTGATATTTGGGACATAAATGTCCAAATTACCATTCTTGTTAGTTAAATAAAAATCAATATTTTTTAAAAACATTGAAAATATTTTAAAACATTAAAATATTTAAAAGAAAATAGCAAAATAAAAAGTCCATGATTTTTTTTTTCTAGATTTATTAGTTTTTGGTTAATTAAATAGATGGATATTAAGGTCATTTTACATCTTAAAAATCAATTTTAGGGTACCAAGAAGATGTTTTTAAAAACGTGGAGATACCGTTTTAATATTATCTAAAAGACATGATATCAAGAACATGTGTCGCTATAATACATGATACCAAAATGATTTTATCGCTTTATACATTTATTAATGGTTCGGGTAGTACCATCCAATTCCCTTAATTTGTGGTTAAAAAATGACAATGCTTTTGAAAATATATAAAATGTAGACGACCGAAGACTCCTTCTTACCTTTTATTTATTGGATATTTGGGGCGGCTTGCAAAATTATTTAGTCCAACATTATGACATCGACACTAACAACTCTCTTTTGAGAGGACAATAATTAAATGCATATTCAAAGCGATCTAATCTTTGTAACTAATCAACGGCAAATCAAGTCTTGACTTTTCCCGCTGTGAGAAATACTTCAATTTTTTTTTTTTTTTTTTTTTTTTTCATCAATCTTTAAACAATCTGGCCATAGCCTCAGCTTAGAGGTTGTAATATTTTTGGAAACTTTTTTTTAGCAGTATATATTTTGGATATATTTATATCAGTTCTAGTTATGACCATCTTTATTGATAAATTTATGAACATATATAAACTGGATTCCTTCCCGCTACTATATATATCTCTAACGAATTTTAATACATGTGCAGGCTTTCATCTTTCACCCCACAGTTATAGGAGGAGAACTGCCATTTGTAGCACAATCTGCATTTGGCCAACGGTAGTGCCAAATTCTTTTACCCTAGTTTGGACCACTTTTAATATATATACATACATATATATATATATATATATATCAACGAAATATATACAAAAGAACAAGATTCTTTTGCCATTACATACATTATGTACAGCGGGCCAGGCCACAGTTTGATATATATATATATAGTTAGAAACTGCAACACAAGTTCTTCTAAAAGTTTTGTTTTCAAACGACAATGACTTGTAAACATACTTATCACACCATTTTAAACTCATGGTGCATTTTCGATGCATAATATAATATTATATATATATATATATATATTTATATAGATGGTGCTGCATGCCGACAGACTAGTATATCTTATTATGATTCTATCACGTAGGCTCTCTCGTGTGATCGATCGGTAGTTTTTAAAAGAACTCGGGTAAGCAACTTTCCCCTTTTCTGCGTAATATTAATTACTATGCTTTTGTCCAACCCTTTTTTCAAGTAAATGAAGAGAGAAACTGAGATTAGAGAAATTAAAATACATTTCAACTAGGTGGCGTCCACTAAGTAACTCCAATTACAAGCACCTCATTCTAATATGCTTTTTTCCTCTACAATAATACCCAGCTCTTTAAAATCTGAAGTGGAAATTTCGTCTTAGAATATTAATTTATATATATAATAGCGGTTTCCAATAAACTATTAATTAATGAATTATTTTATGGTTATTGACATCTTGTCGTTCACATATATCAAATCCAATCACCCCGGTCATTATTGACAAATATCATCCCCATTCCCCACTTCCAAAAGAAAAAAAAAAAAAAGAAAAGAAAAAAAAAATACACACACACACACACGTTATAAATTTCTCTCTTTATCTTTTTAGTATATTTTTCGCTCATATTTGAATAAAAATTGCATGGTTGCGAGATTCTTTTATACACTTTTTCTTTATTTTCGCAGAAAGTTCGAAGCTAATATTTGACTATCGAGCATAATTAGGTTGGTTACAAATACTATTAAGGGTTTGGCGCATTTGAAGCTAAACTTTAAAGAAGAAACTAGGTTAATCATGATGATAATTTTTTTTTCTTTTTTTTTGAATCCTAATCAATAAAAAAAAAACCTCTGTTTTTTTTTTCCAAGGAGAAAGGTAGCTTTAAACTTTGTTTGGTTGGTAGATTCGTGTCCTGATTTGAATTATGATTTGTGGTTCATTACCGTATTTTTTTTATAAAAAATATACGTAAATTAAAAATAATTTTAAATCATGATTCTGAATCTATGAACTAAACGTCTACTTAGTAAGTGACTGTAAAAAAGTTAATTATATCCGGGGCAGTGTGGGCAATGAAGGGAATGAGATGGCAAGAAAAGGGTGGTAGAAAGTTCCACATTACTATACAAAACTAGGAATATATTATAGAAATATTGCTTCATCGGCTATACGTACCATATATATGGATATCTTTATCATAATTCCCTCTCCACGTCATATATCTCTAGCAGGTGAATCTTTCCTTTGGTTCCAAGTACAAGCCGATCTTTACCAAAAAAAAAAAAAAAAAAAAAAGCAAGCCCGTGAATCTACTTTCTCTCTCTTTCTAGTACGCAATAAGTAGGAAGTTTACCATTGTCCCAAGTGAAAAATTGATTTTTGTTATTATGCTATATCTCTCGTTTCAACTTTGAGTAATCTTGATAGATATTTTTGAAAACGTATGCGTCATCATTTTTATTTTTTTATTAATATTTTTAATTAAATAATTACATTAATAAAAAAATATTTATAAAACATAAAAAATAAAATTTCAGACTCATATATTTTTAAGGATAAATTCTCAAATTTTTCTTCAAAATTTTGAGCTCTCACAATTTGCACTTCTCTCACCCGCAGGTCCTAGGATATATATACACCCATATGTATAATATGTTTATATGTGTGTATGTCTGTATATTAATTTTTCCCATAAAGAGAACCACAAATGTGGGGATGCTAGTGACCTGTCACCACGTGTCCTCATGTATCACAATCACTCACATGCACTTATTAGGCAAATCACATGTTGATGTGTTTATACTTTATCTTGCATTGCATGTAACCCTTTTCTTTTTTGCCCCTTTTCAAGTATTATTATTTCATA